TGCAAGTAATATTCAGACTATCTTTTCAGCTTGTGGTTCTCTGTAATACTAACATATCTTCCAGTGAATATACTTCTCAATTGTATGTCAATTCCTTTGTATTCTTCTGGTGTCAAGATTGGTCAGCCAGATCCGAAGTGGTCAGTATTCTCAACATATTGTTCACATAATCTACATATTTGTCCAGCATCATTCTTTATTATGTATACCTCTTAATTCTTGGTAAACAGGTCTTTGGTCTTTTGCAGCCATTATAAATACCTCTATCTCTATGTGGGAAATAATTCTGCGGCCCCCTCTAGGATGTTGTTGTTTTTGTTGTTCTTCTTCTTCTTCTCAAATGACAACTATAGCAAGAATCTTCCCCGGCTCTTTTTCCAACTGAAGGGCTTGCAAAAATAATCTCAAATGACTCAAAGACTCCTTGAAGATTACTGGCTACGAGTTGCACTTAGAGAAGGCCAGAGAACCGATCGGCCGCTAAGTAGTGGTTCAAGCAGCAAATATAAATATACTCGCTTGAAAAATACAGATAATTATGAGTTACTATCCACGAGGGTGATGAAAGCTTCTCGGCCAGTTTCACTTCTCAAATTTAATTTTTTTTTAATAAGGGAAATTATTATTTTTTAGGGGCAAGGGCTTCTTCCTGGGGCCTCGAACTTTTCAGCATTCACGTAATTATCATAATTATTTAACTTTGGGAAGCTTGATGTTCCGTGTAATTATTATTATTATTATTATTATTTGATTTATGTTCTCTCCGACTCTTTCGGCCGGATGATAGTGATTATATTTCACCTCCTTACTCGCTGCTTAGATACACAACACATTCCTCAATAAATGAGTTGCTCCAAGCACCTGCGCACTTCTAATAATGTTAGTTACACCCAAGGCGTCCTGCGAGGCAGAAAGATTCCTGGAAATAGCCCTGAGTGCTCCAAACAGAAAAGGGACAACTTCAGCTTGGTATATTTCTCCCGATCTGCTCTGTCAGATATTGGTACCTCTGTATTTTCACCTGCTAATATTTCACGATGTTCCTATCCCAAGGTACCGCAACGCCTATCAGGATCCATTTATGATGGCTCTTGTGAACAGGTGTGACGTCAGAGCGATTTCTCTCTATCATTATTATTATTACAAATATTTCTTCACCCTAGTGTCATCTTTTTATTCTATTTGCTCATCCCATTTGGATGTAAAAATGACAGCAAATTTCCTCTGTAATTTTTCAGCTCTGAATAATGTTGTCATTTGAAAAGTTTCAGTTTTTATTTTTATCGTTATTATTCAACATTTTCCAAATAAATTATGAGCAAACATGGACCTTCTTTGAAAAAAAAAAAAAAAAAAAAAAAAACGGATCATCAAAAGGACAGTTTTTCCATTGACACCGCTATTATTTTAAATACCTTCACTCCCTCGGCAATATTTATTGTTTTAAAAATCGATGATTAGAATTGTAATGAAACTTAAACATATGATGAAAGTGAATTTATACATTTTTTGTTATTGAAATTTTACAAGAATGTTAAATACTATTTACAAGTATAATTTTATATTTACAACATTCTAAAAACTAACACAACTGAAATTAATGTAATGCAATATTTATCATTTCACAATTTCTAAAGAAATAGATATGAAAACAAGTTTTTATTCATAAATTTATAAACATTTATTAAATTATTAAAATACGTGAACCAACTATAAGGAAATCCTTATAATTTACCATTTTATAAATTTGAATCAATTGGCAATTAGACGATAATTTGCCAACCATTCCAAAAACAAGGCAAAAATTGTTGCACCTTGGCTGGGAAGATTTCACTCATTCGCCATATTGAAGAGTTATTCTTTCGCTTTAGTGAATATTTTGGATTTGACGGAATTCTTTTCATGAAGTTATGGATTAAGAAAAATAAAATGGCGCGGGCAGAGTAGAAATATATATATTTTTTTTTAAGTTAATGCTTCTTTTTTATTTTTAATAAACCGAATAGACTTTTAAAACCTATCTTGGAAATGTTACAAACAGGCGATGGAAAATGTAACAGAGCCATCCGAAGACTCATTGAAATAGCGAAAAAAAGATTTCCAAAAGCTAAACAATATATTAATAAATGGAAAATTTTCACTAGAAACAAAGAAAAGGGCAGTGAGCTTTTCAGCAACACCACCTCTCTCTCTAATATATATATATATATATATATATATATACACACAAATTGAGAGAGAAAGAGAGAGGAATATGTTGATTTTAGATAGAATGAAAGAAAGGGAAGAGAAAGAAGAATGAGAAGAAATGAATTGATAGATAGATAGATAGATAGATAGATAGATAGATAGAGGCTGAGATAGTGTTGAATAAGCATTGTTGAATATACGCTACTTTTTATTTATGTTTGTCGTACAAAGACATTTGCTTCGGGACAAGAGACCCTGATAAAATCTTTTTTTCTTTTACCTTTATTTCCTCCTGTGACATTTTAAAAGA